TAATGTGCATAAGTTATATATATGAAATATAAATGAATTCTGTGTCTAGACCCAGGTCTTATCCCCAAGAGATCTCATTGAATATATGAAAATATTCCAAAATTTTAAAAAATCCAAACTCCAAATGCTTCTGGTTCCAAGCACTTCAAATACAGGTGCTTCAGTCTATAAATATTTATCCCGCACGATGTGATGTCTGCATGCATGGATCCTGTGTGACGTGATCCCACTCATGACACAGCCATCACCTCACAGGGTTATCTTCGTGTGGGTGGGGAGACCACTGAACGTCTACAGAGCAGCAGTTCTTCGGTGTGCAGTAAGTACAGCAGCCCGCTCTCAACTAGGGGAGCAGGTGGAGGCCTCGCGAGGACCGGATGTTAGTGAATATCTCGTGTCTGCTCTCCCAGCTTCTGATCAGCTGAAAGTTTGCATCACAGAGCGCGATTCCTGAGTTGGTGAGCTGCGAGTCTCTATTTCTTGAGTCAGCAAATGTCCATGTGAAACCTGTTTATGGTCGTCCCTGCAGAACAATCAATACTTCTTTTTCATCATCAAATAGCCTGCTCCTTGACTTAGAGAACTGACTGGCAGATGCTGACCAGCAGTGCCAGCGTGACCCCCCCAGATGTCCTGCTCTCATGTCATCTGAGGAAAAATTGTATCCCTGTGGAAGACAGGCGGAGAACCTGAGGAATCCAGCACATCTTCTTCCAGACACGGGCGTGTTCCACTTCTCCAGAAATATTCATAGAAATGGATTTCCGTGGAGAATGGGAGAGAAACCTTTCTCTGCTTGCACCATATAAATTTGTCTTGTTGCATTTGAAGATCTGCAGCACAGTTGGAAAGGAACCAGTTGTCATCCAGCGCCTGGATCTGCCTCCATGTGAGTGTCTGTGGTTTGCCTCCTTCCTCTTCCACCTTGAATCGCCCTGGGCTTTCCCCTTCTGGACACACAGGGAACAGGCTTTGGGATGGGGCTTGGGGTAAGATGCTCATGCCCAGGCCGGCGCCGCGGCTCACTAGGCTAATCCTCCGCCTAGCGGCGCCGGCACACCGGGTTCTAGTCCTGGTCGGGGCGCCGGATTCTGTCCCGGTTGCCCCTCTTCCAGGCCAGCCCTCTGCTGTGGCCAGGGAGTGCAGTGGAGGATGGCCCAGGTGCTTGGGCCCTGCACCCCATGGGAGACCAGGAAAAGCACCTGGCTCCTGGCTCCTGCCATCGGATCAGCGCGGTGCGCCGGCCGCAGCGCGCCGGCCGCGGCGGCCATTGGAGGGTGAACCAACGGCAAAGGAAGACCTTTCTCTCTGTCTCTCTCTCTCACTGTCCACTCTGCCTGTCAAAAAATAAAAAAAAATAAATAAATAAAAAAATAAATAAATAAAAAAAAAAAAAGATGCTCATGCCCATGTTGGAGTGTCTGCGTATGGCACCCATGCCCGCTCCCAACTCCAGCTTCCTGCTAATGCAGACCCTGGGGGGCAGCAATTGCTCAAGCAATTGAGGTCTTCCACAAACATGGGACACCTGAACCGATATCTGTCTCTCCGCCTCGCAAATTAAAACAGGAAAGAAAGACAGACAGTCACCAGAGGCCTGCATTCCCTCACGTTGGTTCCCAAGCTCTTGCCAGGGCCAGATGAACAAGTCCAGAGGCAAGGCCACTCAGTGTGTGCAAGATGGGGCCGGCTGAATAGACAGAAAACAAAAAGGAAGGAGAATTAACACGCTTTGCCACCTCCACACCTGTACTAGAAATGTTCTTCTGAGGCTAAAAATTCATTTTCTTAAAAAAAAATCCAAAATCTTGTTGCAAACAAATATTCTTAAAATTGCCCTTAAGTGCACCATTTTGCTCAAGATGAACCCATTAGACATCTTTATTGTAACTAAGCCCCACAAAGAGCAATTGGAAGCATTTGTCCAAATGCTAAAGATTAGCTATCAGCTGCGTGCGAGCCGGGGAAACCAACGAACAGATGTAGCTTCGCTGAGCCCGGGAGCTTGTTTGTGTTCTGCTTTGCTATAAAGGGAAGGCAGGTGGCTCAGGATGGTCCCCTGGTGTCCTCGGTATCAGCCTACTTAACTCCCTTTGTTTGTGTCTACAGATGCGATTCACTACTGGATCAGTAACTGTGGGGAATCCTCAAACCCGGCGGACGAACACATCCTCCAATCCAGCTGATGAGCTGTTAGAGCAGCAGACCAGGGTAAGGCCAAGTAGGGCACGAGGGGTCACCCAGACAGGGATCAACCTTGTGCATGGACTGTGACATAGGCAAAGCCGGTCACCCAGCCTCCCACCCTGGCTCTGAGAATTTCAGCTGCATTTTCCCATTACATTGCCCGCCATTCTGCTGTTCATCTCTAATGCTATCTCTGGGCTTCTTCAACTCATGACTTTTTTTAAAAAAGATTTTTGTTTTATGTATTTGAAAGGCAGAAAGAGACAGACACAGAGATTTCCCATCTTCTAGTTCTCTCCCTAAACAGCCTCAACAGCTGGGTCTGAGCCAGGCTGAATTCAGGAGCTGGGACTTGAGTCCAGGTCTCCCACATTGGTAGCAGGGACCCAACTCCTTGAGCCACCACATGCTGTCTCCCAGGGCAGGTGCCAGCAGTACGTTGGATTCAGCAGCATAGCCAGGACTTAACCTCAGGTTCTCTGACATGGGGTGTGGGGATCACAAGTAGCACGTTAGCTACAAAGCCAAAGGCTTGCCCAGACTTGTGACTTCTTTGACTAATGATGACTGAACATCCAGGGAGAATGAAAATCACCGAGAGTTTACTAAACAATAAACTGAAGTTAACCACATAGCCAACAGACGGTAAACGATACGCAAGTGCAGGGCAGCCTGAATGAGAGCATTAATTATTTCCCTGGCATCTCAGTCTCATTATGGATGGGAAAACAAACTCATGTCCTTTTCTCTTCAAGTGGAAAAGAGCCTGCTGGATGGTAAGAGCTGGGTTCTTGCAGGTGAAGAGGTGTGAAGGTGGTGAGACGCTGTGGGTGGATGAAACCACACAGGGCGGGAGTCACTGGGGTGGGAAGGTGTGTGGGTGGGTGTTCTGCCAGGGGCAAGACCTGGGCTCCCAAGGGGCACCTGTTAAGGTATAGTGTGGTGGTGTCAGACTTACGCTAAGAGCTGTGAACTTTGAAGGTGCGTGAAAGATCCAAGTCGTCATATTAGTAGTCATAGAGAGTGGATGTTGTAAGATGTGTGTTTGCCTAACCCTGGGCAGACTGTGGAAAAGTCCCAGAGAAGCCTGGCGGGCCAAAAGCAGCCTGCCATCTGTTCTGTAAATAAAGTTTGATTGGCACCCGGCAATATCCATGTGTCCATGAACTATCTACTGTGGTTTCATGCTACAGGAAGCAGGATTGGGGAGCTGTGACAGAGGCCACACCTGTAGTCCCTGAAGCCTAGGATAAATTTCAGCTTGTTATCTTTTTGTAAAAAAAAATCTTCTTGAGGCTGAGAGAGAGAGTGAGAGAGAGAGAGAGAGAGTGTGAGAGAGAGAGAGAGTGTGTGTGTGTGAGAGAGAGAGTGTGTGTGAGAGAGAGAGAGTGTGTGTGTGAAATGTATCTCCCATCCACTGGTTCACTCCTCAAATGCCTGCAACAGGCAGGGCTGGGACAAGATGAAACCCAAAGCCAAGAACACAATTCGCAGCTCCCACAAGAGTGAAACTCACAGCTGCCTCCCAGGGTGCACCTGAGCAGGAAGCTGGAGGGGGAAGACGGAGCCAGGTACTCGGAAGTGGGACAGGCTTCCTCACCAGCACCTTAACATCTAGACCAACACTGCCCCCGCCCCCGCCCCCGCCCCATTTCAAACTGGCTCTTTACTAAAACACTCGCTGGCCCTGGTGGTTACTTGGGGCTACGAACTCAGAGAGGACTGTGCTAGGGCTTCTCATGAGAGCCTGGAGCCTGTGTGTCTGGTCTGGCTCACGCCAGCACGCAAGGACGTGCCATCCTCAGCCAGCAGAAGGATCAGTCACGACACACTGCACAGGTCCTTGGCCTTCTTAGTTTCACACGTGAATATCAGATGGTATTTTATGTTTACATTGCTCTATGTGTGTGAGTGTGTGTGTGTGTGTGTGTATTAGAAATGAAATGATGTGCTGCTGTACCAAACCTTAACGTATTTATACCTGCTGTGTGCTGCGTTGTTTCCCATTGTTGCTATGACAAATTAGCATCATCTTAGGACTGAAAACAACATGGATGTTCTGTCTTGCACTTTGGAGGTCAGAGCCCATACTCACTCTATGTAGACCAACATCCAGGCACCAGCAGGGCACCTCTGGAGGGTCGGGGCATCCTACTATCTCCTCTCCTCTCCCACTCTCCGCCTGTCCTTGTAAAGACCCTAGAATGACACTGGACCCTGTGAATAATCCAAGACCAACTCCATATTGCAGAATCATTATCGTAATCCCACCTGCAAAGTCCCTTGTTGCCACATAAGGAAGCATTTGCCGTTGCTAGGCAATAGGACATGGACATCCTGGGGAGCTGTCACTCAGCTTCCAGTTGACCATTCACATGGAACCATGAGGCTTTGAGGCTGCCTTCAACCCTATGAAGAACTGCCAGAAGCCCCAGGGAGACTATGGGTAATGGGACTGTTTGGGTCCTGTCTGGAGTCTCCACCTCCCATTCATCCTCAACTCTCATCCAGGAAAGGAGGGAATGCAGGCAGTCACCGGTTCCCAGCACCTGCCAGCCCCCTGTGGGTGAGAGGGCCCGGCCAGGCAGCGGAATGAGCACCTGGACAACCTGGACCTGTGCCCCCGACCTCCACGCTCGTGCCTCTGCTCCTGGAAGAGGCTCCCTTGTCCACATCGTGGTCTTCCATGGCTACAACTTAGGTGGGCGATGAGAACGCCCCACCCTAGGGAAACGGGTGAGGGTCAGTAACTCAATTCTCCAGATAGCTTTAGAGAGAGTTTCCTTCCAATAAAACAAAAGGCTTATGGTCTGTCATGGGCTGAAGCGGGTTCTCTCAAAAATTCCTGAAGTTCGAATCCCCAGAAACTCAGATGTGACTTTATCTTTGAAGGGGGCAATAAAAGCTACAATGAGGTCCACCTGGCTGGGCCTTAATCCAGTGTGAGTGGTGACCTAATAAGAAGAAGGAAACAGAGAGGAGCCTCAGGAGAAGCCAACCCTGGGGTAGGCATTGGGGCACAGTGGGTTAAGCTGCTGCCTGGGACACTGCAGCCCATTTCAGAGTGCTCGTTCTAGTCCTGGCTCGGCCTCTGACCTAGCTTCCTGCTAACAAGCACCTGGGAAGCAGCAGATGATGGCTCAAATCCTGTCACCCACGTGGGGGACCTGGATGGAGCTCCTGGCTCCTGGCTTCATCCGGATGCAGCCCTGGCTACTGCGGCCACTGGGGGAGTCAATCAGTAGATGGAAGAATCTCTCTCTGCATTTCATATAAATTAAATCTTTTTTAAAAAGATTTATTTATTTATTCAAAAGTCAGAGTTACATAGAGAGAGGAGAGGCAGAGAGAAAGGGAGGTCTTCCATCCGCTGGTTCACTCCCCAATTGGCCGCAACAGCTAGAGCTGTGCCAATCTGAAGCCAAGAACCAGGAGCTTTTTCAGGTCTCCCACATGGGTGCAGGGGCCCAAGCACTTGCGCCATCTTCTACTGCTTTCCCAAGCCATAGCAGAGAGCTGGATTGGAAGTGGAGCAGCCAGGTCTCGAACCGCTGCCTATATGGGATGCCGGCGCTTCAGGCCAGCGCGTTAACCTGCTGTGCCACAGCGCTGGCTCCTAAATTAAATCTTAAAAAAAGACAAAGAAGAAGGAGCCAATCCTACCAATTTTTAACCTCCAGACCTGTGAGAAAATCAATATGTGGTTTAAATCCCATGCATGGAGCTACGGTGTGGCAGCCCCGACAATCGAACGTGGATTCTCAGGGGGCGGCGCCAGGGGGTGGGGGGGTGGGGGGGGTTGGGAGCAGCACTGATGCAACAGCTGGGAACAGCATGGGGCGGCCCCCTAGAACAGTGTCCCCCGCAGCAGGTGAGAGCCCAGGCATCAGACGGCAGTGCACATGCCGGGCATCAACCCACATACAAGCTTTTCAGCGCTCTGAGCTACGAGACGCGGAGCTGGGACAGGACCAGCGCCTTCCGAGTCTGGACCCTGGAACGTCTTTGCGGGCAGAACATGCTGTGCCTTAGACACGGACGTCACGCAGCCGCACTGCTGCACTGTCTGCTCACCACGGGCACCTGGCTTCCCTCGACGGCTACAGAGGGTCATTCCTGCCGTTGCCCGGCGTGGGGCCGGGAAGAGCCACTGAATTCATAAAGCAGCACAGAGACCTAGGCCACGTTTCCTTCCCCCTAAATCTAGAAGCTCGTGAGGGCCCTAGATCCTGTGTGCGTGCAAAGCATCCTATTTCTTTTGTACCTCAATCCACTCACATCCGGCTGCTGTCTCTTTCCTTTCTTTCTCTGCAGAACAGGGAGGTGGATTTCTGGGGTCTCCTCGCTCCCGCCTAAGTAGATGCACCTGTCCGTGGCAGACACAGCAAACACTGTCTTCCTCCTCCCTCCAGAGTTCTGTCCTGTGACATGTCTCTCCCCTCGCGACTCCCCTGACCACCGACTCTCGAGGCACGGGATCCGATTTCTCCTCTCTCCTGTGACATCGCGCCCTGTGTGGAGCAGAACGAATAACGGAGACAACACCCACCTTTATGTTCCACACTTAATAAAGCTGCAGCAGTGACGGCATCAAAAGTCGAAGGCACAGTGAGAAATTCGATTTAGTAGCCGAAGACGCGACTGAAACAAAGCGGAATGCCAAGTTGTGCACTAATTTTACACGCTGGCGTATCCCAGCCATGACCCAGGACAGGGTCCAAACAAGCTTGCATGTGTTCTGCCTCGAAGGATGTCAGACGGAGCAGCATCAATACGCGAGGACTGCTTAGTGCAGTCAAAGCTGGGAAAGGAAGAGGAAGAGGGCTGCGAGTCCGTAAGAACTTCCTCTGCAGGGACTTTACATGGCATTGCGATTCTTCCAACAACTGCTCAATTCACTTTTCAGAAATTGAAGGCAAATAAACCAAATGGACATCCACGAGGAGGCTGCAGTCAGCCCCCACACTGCTGAGTTCCGGAACTTTCTCGGTTCCTGGTGTGAGTACAATCGCATCTAGAAGTGGTCGGTGCTGGAAGTGTAGACCTGGCAGAGGCACAGGGCTGTGTCCACTGGCAGTGGCTTGAAGCACGCAGTGGATCAGCTGGTGAATCACTGAGGACTGTGACAATGTGCGCAGAGACGTCTGGAGGCACCTGCGAGGGCCCGGGTGGCTGGGTGTCCTCAGCGGAGTGGGGCCGCAGGAGGCTCCGAGCCCCATGGAGGAGACGAGGACGGAGAAGTTCTCGGCCATGCGCAGGACCAAGGTGGAAGTCCTGAGGGGACAGTGAAGCTGCTGAGCTCAGTAGGGCCAGCCCAGGAGTGGCACAGATGAGTTCCCAGGGGCCCAGTGGCCAACAAGTGCAGCTCTGTAAGGTACCAGGGGTCCACCCTTTGTCGTGGGTGTGGCTAAGGGAAGTGATGTCATTCATCCTGACCAAGGGGACTGGCTGCTAATAGAGCCCATCAGAGCACACCCAATGCAGGACCCAGCACAGCGAGCAGCAGGTGCAGGGCCCAGTACTTTGCTGAGGTTCATAGCAGCCCCGTAAGAACAGCAGCTGTGTCCCTGCTGTGGCCACACAGAAAGAAAGTGGCTGAATTTGGAATGAGACCCAGACTTGTGAGAGCAGGGGAGCCACAGCACTGCACTGTGTCGCAGGGAACGTGGTGGAGGAGTGAGACTGACTCAGCACGAAGCTGCCACCATGGCTAGAAAAACAGCTGGAAAGAGGTGGGGTCCGAATGCCAAGTTCATCTGCATCCCTGAGCGCTGGAATCAGGAACTGGAGACCCCAGGACAGACTCTACCCCGGATCAGTTCACGGCCCACACAAAGGACTTAGAGCCTCTGGGGTCTGCTGCTTCCCACGTGAGGCTGCTGAGCTCCAAGGACTCCACGGTGCTTTGAGCCCTCAGTGACCTGTGCTCTATGGAAGGGAAATAGAGGGCACTCTAAGCAGTACATGGAAAGTGGAACTAAAAGGAATTATTTTGGTATGGAAAAAAATTGAAATCCATGAATTGAAGGGTCTTCCCCAAGTTTGTGGAAAATGTAATTATGGAAACAGTATGAATAGATACATATATTCCTCCAGACATACATGCCAAGCGCACGTTTTCCCCAGCCACACCTGCACTGTGATGGATTCCCCAGCCACACCTGCACTGTGATGGGTTCCCCACAGCCACACCTGCACTGTGATGGGTTCCCCACAGCCACACCTGCACTGTGATGGGTTCCCCAGCCACACCTGCACTGTGATGGGTTCCCCAGCCACACCTGCACTGTGATGGGTTCCCCACAGCCACACCTGCACTGTGATGGATTCCCCAGCCACACCTGCACTGTGATGGGTTCCCCACAGCCACACCTGCACTGTGATGGGTTCCCCACAGCCACACCTGCACTGTGATGGGTTCCCCACAGCCACACCTGCACTGTGATGGATTCCCCAGCCACACCTGCACTGTGATGGGTTCCCCAGCCACACCTGCACTGTGATGGATTCCCCAGCCACACCTGCACTGTGATGGGTTCCCCACAGCCACACCTGCACTGTGATGGGTTCCCCAGCCACACCTGCACTGTGATGGGTTCCCCACAGCCACACCTGTACTGTGATGGATCCCCCAGCCACACCTGCACTGTGATGGATTCCCCAGCCACACCTGCACTGTGATGGGTTCCCCAGCCACACCTGCACTGTGATGGGTTCCCCAGCCACACCTGCACGGTGCACATGTGCCTCCAGCCAGGAGCATCCTAGAACTGTAAACCCCACCACATGCGATCAGCACTCCCTGGAGTTCCTCCACAGAACTCCGGCGCCAGAACCCCTCTGACACCATGGTCAGTGGCAGTCTCTGTCCAGAAGAGGTGAGAGGCTGTCTCTTGCAGGACTTTCTGCCTTTTTTGGCTTCTCAGCATCTTTGAATACACCTGCTATGTGTGGGGGATTGCTAGCTTTGTGAGTCCTGTCTCACCAGGTTGAGTTCCAGAGGACTTGGAGTCACAGCTCTTGGCAGGAAATAGGAATTTCCAGTTTCCCCAAGCTGGCCCTCACCCACAAGACTCTGCTCTGGGAAAGATCAGCCAAAAAGAAGGTTCCACAGGAAAATATTTTATCTGAATTTTATTTATGGTTATCTTCCACTACAGAAACATTTTATTCCACACTTAACGGAATGGATCAACTTTAGAGACTCTAGCCATATAACTAAGCATATTAATACATAATTTGAGTAAAGGACAATCATAATCCAGGAAAAAATTCTAATTGATAAGAGAACTTTAATGAAAAAAATGTTAAATAAAACAACATACCTTATTAAATGCCTTAGATAAAATCTAAAGCAAACTTCTTAAATTTTTTTAATAAAATGGAATCAGAAGTCATTCTAAAATATCACACTCATTGTAAAATCCTGAAGGCATGTCTACTGCAGTTTGGAAGTGGGATAAGGTGCAGGGTGTCTCCCCAGCATCAATCAATCTTGCTTGGAGGTTTTGGCTAATGCAGTAAAACAGAATAGAGGACTGGCGTAAATACTGCCAAGAGGTGGAAGCAGTGTTGCCCTTTGTGGATAATCCCATCTTATGTCTATAACATTCTGGAGGAATGGCTAAAAGAAAACCTTTTAGAATGAATTTTCTTTATGGGATACCCCAGGAAGGTGTCACTATGTAAGATGATTATTTGAAAAATTCAACAGCCTTTCTCTACACTAGTAAAAACCATTTAAAAATTGACATGGTTAAAGATCCCATTCATGACAGCTACCATAACTACAAACAGCTAAATATAAATTTACCAATGAAGTATAGGACTGGAGTATATATTTCAATATTCCTCAATTAGTGGAGACAAAACACAGGACTCCAGCACAGGATATGTCACTTGCCTGGATCAGAAGACTCCACATCGGAAAGAAGTGGCCATCAAAGAAGGAGGTACCTTTCTCTGAACGGAGGAGAGAACTTCAACTTTGCTTATGGCCCTGTCTTAATGACAGAGTTTGTGAACTCAGAAGGCTTCCATAGCCTTGGCAGCTCATGACAAGAGCCTTGGGTGATCACTGACATTATAAATAAGGTGTCAGTTGTTAAATCAACAACAGGAGTCACTGTGCACTTACTCCCCATGTAGGATCTCTGTCCTTAATGTGTTGTACTATGAGAATTAATGATAAAACTTGTCTTCAAACTGTGCTTTATACTTTGTGTGTCTGTGTGTGTGCAAAACTGTGGACATCTTTACTTAGTATAGAGTTGATCTTCTATATATAAAGATAATTCAAAATGAATCTTAATGAAGAATGGGATGGGAGAGGGAGTAGAGAGTGGGAGGGTGGGTATGGAGGGAAGAACCACTATATTCCTAAAGCTGTACCTATGAAATTTGTATTTATTAAATACAAGTTTTCTTTAAAAAAAAGGAAGACTCCACATCAGAACAGCTTCTCAGTACAGGTGTGGAGCTAAAGCAACTCCAGCCCGAATTCAAATGGGTTCTTTATGTCCTCTGGTCTTGCTTGTGAAACTGGACAAATTGATTATAAGTTTCACAGGGCAGAATAAACTTGCTAATTTCTAAGAATTTTTTTGGAAAAGATGAGGCTAGGGGATTTGTTTTCCATATATTTCAATGCATATTAGAATTACTCTAATCAGAACAATATAATACTGGTATAGGAATGGACAAATTGATATGTAATATGAAACATAGAATCCAGATACCAATACAAATATACTTGAATTTTTAACATATAATAAATGATAGTTGCACAAATATCTACTAATTTAGAGGGAAAATATATTCATTTATGTAAAATTATTTTTGCATAGATTGAAGATCTGGACGACAGGTAAGCTACATTCAATGTTATAATAAAATATGGAGTTATGGGCTTGTTTTTAACTATTGACTGTGGAAGGTACTTCTAGGTAAAACAAGAAGCAGAAGGGGAGAAAGAGAAAAGGAAGAAGAGGAGGAAGGAAAAGAATAAGAGGAGGAAGAGGAGGAGGAAGAAGAAGATGAAGAAGAGGAGGAGGGGGAGGAAGGAGGAGAAGAGGAGAGGGAGGGAGAAGAAGAAGAAGAGGAAGAAGAGGGAGGATGAAGAGGGAGGAAGAGGAGGAGGAAGAGGAAGAGAGAAGGGAGAAGGAAGAAGAAGAAAAGACAAGACAAAAATCTGCCCCTGATATCTTTGACTCATATAAACATATTACATTTTACAGGTTAGAATATAAAAACTAAACACGAGAATAAGTAACCCATCCAAGATCCCTGAATTTGGTGGCGACACAGACTAATTAGGGCTTCTTAGATAATTAGAATAGTTAATCCATGTAAATTATAGACTTTCCCCTTAGCATCATTATTATCTGGAGTGCTTGTTCCAACAGCTACCTTGGCCCCACTTCTAGTTCCTGATTTGATGGGTCAGGTTAGAACCTGCAGTTTTGCATTTCTTGTCGGTCGACAGGTAGTCTTGCTGCTGATTGTAGATTCACACGGAGCAACATCTTGCTCTGTAACTTCTCTATGCAAAAAGTCCTGGTGTTGATACACATACCAGTTGGGAAGCCACCAATGAACACACATTTGATTCCCACGCACTGTAGTGATGCACCCATGGTTTGGGGCAGGGGAAACAGACCGGAGAGAGGAGCAAGCACCAGGAGTCAGGATCAAGCTCCTTCAGAAGCAGGTCAGGGTGAGGTTCAGTGAAAGCAGCTTAACTGAAGGCATTTCATTTATCAAAACAAAGTTAAGTGACATCCATGAAACAGCAGTGCAAAGAGCCCTTGAGAGTTCTCTTCTCCATAAAAGCAACGAGAAAGTGGCCAGCACCCACTTTTTCAGAACTCTGAAAATTAGCCAAAGGCTTTGAAGTGTTTATTCAAGAATAAATGCCTGAATTTCAGTCAGGCCAGTGAGCTCAGTGAACTTGCCTTAATCCCACTCCCCGCTCCCCAGCTCCGCAGTAATCTTATAACAACAGAAGCCAGCATCCCCACTGCAGCCTGGCAGCCATGAGAGGCTGCAGGATGCAAAGCCTCCCTCTGGCTCCCAAGGAGTTGCTGCACTTTGACCTTTCTCACAGTCCCCTGGAGCTTTCCCACTTGTCAGACTATCTGTATATGACCAGACGTAGACTGCCCACCCAAAACCCTCCTCCCCAAGGGGCATCTGCTGAGAACAATTAGAGGCAGGTGTTTCAATTTTGCAGCTGCCTGCTGTGGTGGCTGAAACCTGGGGAAATAATGCACTAA